TATATACACACATACATATATATATATATACACACATACATATACACAAAATTATCCTGATTGTGTTTGGCCCAGCCTGCTATGACTGATTGTGTCAACAGCTTTTCTCTGAACCCGGGCACCTGTTTACGGCGCCGGCCCACACATCTCCTCCTTCCTGAAACCACACCGCCCGTGAGACCAACTGAAGCCGTGGTAAGACCTCGCAGAGCCCCCTGAGATCCTCTGCTGGAGATATCAGGATGGCACCCTGGAGCAGCACAGAGTATGTAGCTTTGCATCATTGTGCATTGATGTATAATGCATTGCTGGAATTTGTAGTCCTCTATAGCTGGTTGCCATTTGGCATTGCTGTATACATTTATTGCTGGGATTTGTATGCCTCTATAGCCAGTGCCATTCTCCATCGATGTATAATGTATTGCTGGGATTTGTAGTCCTCTATAGCCGGTGGTATTCTGCATTGCTGTATAGTGTATTGCTGGGATTAGTAGTCCCTCTACAGCTTGGAGTTAATGGTGGTCCTCACCCAGAGCTCACAGGCAGCCAGCGGGGCACGCTTCGGGAACGCGCCTGGTCGCCAGGGTGCGCACTTCCTTCCTTCCCACTCAGTCCTCCAAATGGCCGGTTAAGTATAGTGTGAGTAGGGTCCTTCTCTCTCCCTCCGCTATAGAGAGCTAAATTGCTGTAAAATATAATGCTGGGATTTGTAGTCCTCTATAGCTAGTGGTATTATTCTGAATTGCTGTATAGTGTATTGCTGGGATTTGCTTGGGCTGTTGCTGCTGCTCCAGCTTGGGCTGCAGGCTCTGAGGGGGGTACATGTCCCCGGGGCTGGTGCAGGGTGCTAGGAGGCTGGGGTGCTGCTCCTTGTATGGCCGATGAGGAGTACAGCAGCTGGGCTGTCAACAGTAACTCATTTTTCACTACCACCCTTGGAAACCCTTTCCCTTTCAATAGGTTTGCTAGGTTGGACACCACCTCAACGGTCCACCTATGGAATTTTGAGGACAGTCTGTGCCACTCAGACAACTAGCCAACTTTGCCAGCTCTGAAGGCAACAAATACTCCACCATTGTAGACGATGGGTAATATAGATGGGTGATATTACTATACGTTTTTTTTTTTCCAAAAGTTCCTGCTTCCTGAATACTCATTTGTTGTAAGAAATTACATCAGCCTCCCAGGCCTCTCACAGTTGTATCCTTGGCTGCGTGATCTGCTCTACATTCTGTGATTTATTGTTGAGTACATTTTTTTTACTCAATGCACAGCTTGCTTATTTGGGAATAGCACAGATCTTTATTTTATAAGCATTTGGCAACATTATTTACATTCTATTGATAAAAGCAACCCCAGAAAAAGTGTGTACAATTTAATGATACAGTATTTTTCATAAATGATGATTCTGCTTACCCATTTTCCTGTACCCCACAAAATACTTTGTTTTCCATATCACCATAGCATAAGCTACAAAGTAACGCTGACAACATAAATCCTTGAGGTATCCCACAGCGCTGTACAAAATATCTGAATTAAAAAAAAAAAAAAAAAATTATAATTAAAAAAAGTCGT